GAGGCAGGTACTTGCAAAGCTTGAGGGGGTAGGATTCCCAGGGCCTGCAGGACTAGGCACCTCAAGCCTGAGGAGGCCCTGCCCCAGAGTCTGCTTCAGGCTGTGGGACACAATAAAGCACCCCTGTTTGTTCCTACCTCATTGCCGCTATGAATTTTGAGCATTTGTGGCATGACAAAGGGTGGGGAGGTCTGTTCACTTTCATTTTGTGCTGCCATAAATACACTTTTATGGCAGCACAGTTCCCTCTAAAGGCTTTCTGTTGAAAAGTGCCTGTAAGGGGTGGGGTGCCTGTCACAAGCCACTTCTCCCCTTTCAGGATCTGGAAGGTGGCTTCTGGCCTTTTGGCTCTGTGTAGAGGGCATCTTCATCCCAAAACTTCTGGGTTTAGGCCTGTATGTAGGATGCCTGTCAATGGACTTGGGAATGTCTGAAGCCCCCAGTGAGTCTGGGACAGAGGATGCTGGCAGGTTGTAGCGCCACACATGGTTTAGAGCGGTTGAGTTCTGCCTGCTCAGTCGATACAGTTTTTGGATAGGGTTGCCAGCTCTGAATCTATTCTGGGAGGTTTCTGGAGCGCCTGTGGGCTGTTTATATCAAATCACAGAAAATGAGGGGTAGAGGGGACCTCAGGAGGTCAGCTAATCCGACCCCATGCTCACGGAGGACCACTGCCAACTACCCTGGAAGCCTTGATGATCTTTTGAGGTCCCTTCCAATCTATGAATCTGTAAATCATCCCAGCCAAATCAGATCATCCCAGTCAGTTACGGATTACAGCGTGTAGACTTCACAGCAGGAAGGCAACTGCACGGGACTAGGACGTTTTAAAAACCCAGTGGACTGTTGCATTCACCGTTTATGTGACTGAATGTCCCCTCACTTCTCTCCCGGGTGACTCCCAGCAGTCTCCTGGAGGTTGACAGCCAGTCCCTGGAGAGTCCAGGGCGGTCCTGGAGGGTTGGCAGGCCCGCCCCCAGCGCGGCGGAGCCGCCCATGCCGAGCCGGGCCGAGCCATGGGGCTGGCGGCGGAGCTGGCGGCGCGGCTCAACTGCGCCGAGTACAAGAACTGGGTGCGCGCGGGGCAGGCTCTGCTGCTGCTGCGGGGCGCCCTGCAGCCCTTCGCCGCCGCGCAGCT